CAGCAGCAGCAGCAGCAGCAGCAGCAGCAGCAGCAGCAGCAGCAGCAGCAGCAGCAGCAGCAGCAGCAGCAGCAGCAGAGTTCGTCTGACTGGTAAGGTCTTCAAAAGGCTCTCCTCGAGAATCCACCACAGTGCGGCGCTTGAATCCCACAGAGTCCGCGTTTTCCTCTTGTGCTCGAATCCGCATTAGCTGCCGATAGAAGAAAGGGCCGAGGGTTTGGCACAGCAGCACTTCTCTCTGCAGCCAGTCTCCCCGGGCCCACCACAGGGGCTTCACGGGCATGCGCTGCAGCACCTGCTGCAGCTGCTGCTGCTGCTGCTGCTGCTGCTGCTGCTGCGCCTCTTTGTTGGGCGCTCCCCGCCGGGGGTCTGCCTTGCCCCGCGCGCGCGGCCCCCGACCGGGGGGCCCCTCAGCAGCAGCCTCCTCCTGCGGCTGCTGCTGCTGCTGCTGCTGCTGCTGCTGCTGCTGCTGCTGTTTGCGCAGGGCGCGTTCCCTGGCGAGCTCTTCGTGGTGCCGCCGAATGTGCTGCAGCAGCTGCTGATGCTCTTCCTGCTGCTGCAGCTGCTGCCGCTGCTCCAGCATTCTTAAGTGAGGGGCCAGGGGCCCCGCGCGCATGTCCTGCAGCAGCAAATGGGCCACTTCGAGGGGTACAGCGGGGAAGACGGAGCACCAAACAAAGGCGGGCCTGTTGGCCGGGGGGCCCCCCTCGGGGGGCCCCCCGGGGGGCCCCCCCTCCTGGGGGGCCCCCAGGGGCCTCTGGCGGCCCCGGGGCCGCTCCAAGTGGGGCTCCCCATTCTCCACATAAGAAAAATAAACTCGAAGAGGGTCTCCCACGCGCCAGTCTGCAGCAAAAATGCATTTAAAAGATGTGCCCACTGAAGCAGCAGCAGCAGCAGCAGCAGCAGCAGCAGCTGCTAGAACCAGCGACTTTTAGCAGCAGCAGCACGCAGCAGCAGGGCGCAGCAGCAGCTGCTGGAAGGAGCAGCTCTTAGGAGCGGAAGCTGGGAGCAGCTGTAGGAAGCAGCAGTGGGGCGCAGCAGCAGCAGGGAGCGGCAGCAAGTGGACACGGCAGCAGCTAGACAGCAGCAGCAGCATGCAGCAGCAGCACGCAGCAGCAGCATGCAGCAGCAGCACGCAGCAGCAGCACGCAGCAGCAGATATGCGGACACACTGGGAGGCGTGTCCGCACCCCCGAGCCAAGCAGCAGCTGCTGCAGCTCTGCTGCAGCAACTTCGCCGCCGCTCTCCTGCAGCAGCAGCAGCACTTACTTTTTCGGAGTCTTTTAAAAGCCAACAGCTCCCGCAGGGGCAGCAGCACGAGCGCGCCCACAGCTGCCTCCTGGCGAGTTCCTGGGAAGCTGTAGAGTTGCTGCTGGTAAGTATAGAGTTGGGGCTGCTGCTGCAGCAGCAGCTCGAGGGCCCCCAGCTTTGCTGCATGCGCTTGGGGCCTCACCTTGCGCAGCAGCACTTCCTGCTGCACCAGCAGCTCCTCCTGCTGCAGCGGGTCCCTGCTCGTTTGCTGCTCCAGCCTCAGGGCCCTCTCAGCTTGCTGGAAAGGCAGAGCATCAAGGCAGCCAATGGGGCCCCCTGAAGACCCTGGGGGGCCCCCGGGGCCCCCCGTGCCTGCAGCAGCAGCGCCGTTTTCCGGGGCTTGCACTGGGGGCCCTGGGGCCCCCAGAGGGGGGGGCCCCTCGCTGCTGCTGGGGCCCCCGGGGGCCCCCCCGCTGCTGCTGGGGCCCCCAGGGGGTGGCGCCACGCTGCTGCTGGGGCCCCCGGGGGGGGGCCCCCCGCTGGTGCTGGGGCCCCCGGGGGGCCCCCCGGGGCTGAGGGGGCCCCCGGGGGGCCCCCCGGGGCTGAGGGGGCCCCCGGGGGGCCCCCGCAGGGGGGCCCCCAGGCCACTAACCGCCGGGTGCCACTCATCGTCAGCAGCCAAGACCCGCAACACTGCTGCTTCCCTGCTGCAGAGGAGCCCCACAAACTGGCAGCGGAGGGGCCTCCTGCTGGGGGGGGCCCTCAGCCCCGGGGGGCCCCCCAGGCCCCTGCGGGAGAGGGTTGGGGGGCCCCCGGGGGCCCCCCCCTCCCACTTGAAGGCCGGGACCACCCACTGGGCAGTGGGGGGAGAAAAGAAGTGAAGCCAAGAAGAGACTTTTTGTTTGCGCCTTTGGAGACACAAAAAGAGACAAGAAGAGACAACAGGCTTTCTAACGAGGGGCTAGGGTTTAGGGTTTAGGGTTTAGGGTTTAGGGTTTAGCGGCTGCGGGGCGCCCAGCGCTGGGGCTGCGGCCCCCAGGTGTACAGACAGCTCAACGCGCATGCAGACTGCTGCAGTCCCTTTATGCAGCAGCTGTTTGGAGGGTTTGCGGCAGCAAACCCCAAAAAAGGGTTTAGGGTTTAGGGTTTGGGCCCGGCTCACAGCAGCTGCAGCAGCTCCTCTTCGCTTTTTGCTGCTGCATGCATTCCTTCGAGCTGCGCAAAGTAGGCACAGAAGGAGACACTTGAGGAGACAGTTTTTTTCTTCAAGAGGGGCCGCACCACCAGCTCCAGCAGCCCGCCCCCCCACCCCTGCTGCTGCTGCTGCTGCTCGACGGCG